CTTGCTTTTGGTTTATTTTTCTTTTCCTTTTCTGGGTCCTTGAGGTGAGAGCTCAGATTATTAACCTGAGACCTTTCCTTTTTGCCAACGTATGTGTTTAGTCCTTTCAAGTACTGTGTCAGCACTGCCTGAGCTGTAGCCCTCTACATTTTGGCATGTTGTATTTTCATTTTCATTCAGTTTAATGTCTTTTTAAAATTTCCCTTGAGACTTCCTACACGATCCTGGGATTATTTATAAATTTAATGTTGAGTTTTTTAGTTCTTCCTGTTATCTTGCTGTCACTGATCCCTTGCTTGATTTCGGTGAAGTCAGAGAACATATTCTATATGATTTCAATTATTTTAAATGTGTCGAGGTTTATTTTGTGGCCCAAGGTACAGCCTACCTTAGTATATGTTCTGTGGCTATTTGGGAATAAAACATATTCTGGCGGCGTGGGTGGGATGTGCAACAGAGGGCGAACAGGTCCTGTCGTTGGGGTGCTGAGCCCTGTGCCCGAGCTGAGCTTCTGCCTGGCCGCTGCCTCAGCCACGGGGAGGGGCCATGGTGAGGCTTCCAGCCAGAATGTGGGTCTGCCTCTGTCCCCTTCCAGCCCCACCAGCTCTTGCTCCCTGTACATTGTAGCTCTGTTGTTTGGTGCACAACGTTCAGGACTCCTATGTCTTTTTATCATGATGGAACGTCCTTCTCTGTCTCCAGCAATCTTCCTTGCTTTGAAGTCTGTTTTTTCTGATTCCACATAGTCACTTGTGCTTTCTTTGATTAATGTCTGTATGATGCATCTTATTCCACTAACTTACAACCTGCCTAGATTGTTACATTTGAAGTGAGGTTCTTGTTAGAGAACACATAGTTAGGTCATGGTTTTTAATTCATTCTGCCAATCTTTCAGTGTATTTAGTGTGCTTAGACTATTCACATGTAGTATAATCATTGATATGTGAGGGCTAGTGTCTGCCATTTTACTGTCTGTTTTCTGTTTGTTCTGTTTTCTTTTTCCTGCCTACCTGTTGATTACCTGAACATTTTTTAGAATTTTTTTGATTTTTCTATAATGTCTTTCAGAATATTTCTTTGTACAGCCCTGTTAGTAGTTTCTCTAGATATTACTTTATATATAAATAACTTAACCACACCATTCACCAGCTCAGATGAAGTATGGAAACCTTACCTGTCTTTAGATCTTTTCACCTCTTCTATGCTGTGTCTTATTTCCTCCATGCCAGACAATGCTATAATTTTTGCTTCATTTGTCCAACATGGTTTAGAAAACTCAGGAAGAAAAGGAAAGCCTGCTGTATTCACACATAGTTGTTTACCATGTTCTTTCCCCCTTCCTGATGTTCAAGTTTCCTCCTTTGATCCTTTCCTTTTGGTCTAAAGAAATTTCCTTGATGTTCTTTTAGGGTAGGTGAACATTTCCTGTTTTCCTTCCAGTGAAAACACCCTGGTTCCCCCCTTCAATCTTGAAGGCTGCTTTTGCTGGACACAGGCTTCTAAGTCAAAGCTTTTTCAGCAGTTGAAAAACGCTGGGTTATTTCCTTCTGTCCTCTACACTTTCTGAGGAGAAATCTGCTGATTTGAATAGTTTTTTCCCCATGGGTAAAATGTAATTTCATTTTGTGTGTAGTTTTCAGAAGTTTAATTATGTTGGTTTTCGGATGTGGATTTCTTTGGTTTTATCCTGTTTGGGAATTCTTTTCAGCTTCCTAATTTTGGCAAAGTTGGGAAGTTTTCATCGATTACGTATGTGTATTCTTTCAGCCCCGTCCTGTTTCTCCGTCCAGGATTCTGGGACATGAATGCTAGTGCTTCTGTTTTAATGCCGCAGGTCCTGACCCACAGGTTCCAAAAGCCCTGGCAAAAGGGCTGTTTCTTTTTTTTTTTTTAAGTCTGTTTCTTCTGTGTTATTCAGACTGGGTGGTTTTCATTGTTTTAGCTTTTAGTTGACCAACTCTTTCCTCTGTCCTATCCATTTTCCTATTAAGCCAGCCCATCAAGGTTTTTATTTCAATTCCTCCTTCCAGGAGTGCTATCCCGGCTGGTCCACATGGCCACTGGATGTCACCTGTCTGTGCACAGTCTGGAACTCCTGAAGGTCTGACTGGTGCAGCTGGGGCAGGTCACAAGAATTGGGGGCAGGTGGCTCAGTGCAGGCCGGGTGTGGCCAGGCCACCACCAGCTCCAGCACCAAGTGGGCACTCAGGCTGAACTGGGGAATGCAAGCTCAAAGAAGGTTCTGGATGCCCTTCTGCATTCCGGCCCTTGCTTACCAGGGGAGGCTGCAGCATCCCACATGCCTCGGATGTGCTAGGATGCCCTGAACCTGCCCAGCCCCTCCCCCATGCTCCCTCCCACTGGCAGACAGCCACGGGGCTGGGGTTGCTGACATTAGGCTCTCTGACATCTGGTGGTAAATAGTTCGTATTTCACAGTAACAGCTCCTCTACATTCTTTCATTTTTCTGGACAAAGATCTTCCTGTAACATCATAGCCACAGAGGCAGGGATAACAACTTGGCACCTGCTGACACCGTTCCCAGTGCCCATCACTCAGATGACCCATCTCATTATTCCGTTCAAGTGCCCTGTGAGCTGTGTCCCTCTTCCATGGATGTGGAAACTCATCCTAGGCTCGGGGGCACTGGGGCCTCACTGCACTGAGTCCTGGTGTGAGATGGGTGCAGGGTCCACATGGAGCCAGGGTGTTCTGGGCCCGGTGCGCCACCGTGCTGTGCACGGAGCAGCCAGCGATGGCCTGGAGGACCTGCAGCTGTGGGGACCTGCCCGCTGCACCCACCTTGATAGGATGGCTGCTGTGCTGGGAGGAAGGCCTGCAGGTCACTGTTTACCCACTGGCAGCAATGGACTAGTTTATCCTCCTCTCTTGCCAACCATTTGGACTCTTGGCACCTCAAAGGGTTAAAGGTGCCCACTTTGGGATCGGCAGAGTAAGCACAGTGTGTTTTCCTAATGCCCTTCCATGTCCGTACAGAGTGCTTATGTGCTGACCGTGTTTAATCGGAGAAGAGCGCTGCTCGGTTCAAGCAAACCCCTCATCTGGGAAGAATGCTCCCCCGTGGGGGTCGGGAGCAGAGTGAGCACTTGCCATGTCTGGTGGCCAGGGCACAACGCCCATACCGATGGGCAGCCCCGCTGCTCTGGCGCTCAGCACCATGGGGGTGCATCGGGGTGCACTGGGCAGCGCTCCTCGGCCAAGTCTAAGTCAGCTCCTTACTGTGTTTGCATTTAAAGAGCCACCTCCGTTTTCCTCCTTGGTCAGAGTCCCCGCTCCCCTGAAAGCAGTCAGAACCTCTCTAGCTCCAGGTGCGCCATGCACGATTCCCCCAGGCTTTCTGTCCAGGTGTCCTGTCCTGGTATCAGAACATGCATGCTGCTGGTGGCTCAGAGTGACAGTTAATGAAGCTCCTTACCAGTGTTGTCTTTCCCAGACTGTCTGGATGGCTGCTGGTTTTTTGGCCCAGGACTTGGTTGTAGAAAATGACAAGAGGATTTTAGGAGAGCAGCATGTCCTTGGCAAACAAGGCAGATAATTCTGCTGTTTCTGTGAGACTTTCCTCTTTGCAGTTGTGACTCCAAACCACGGAAAGTGGTTTCCTTGGAAGGAAACACCAAGAAAGCACACGGGAGTCCATCAGCAGATTGGTATTAGGTGGACAGCCACCATCTGGAAGGTTCCTGATGTGTTTCCTGTCCTCACCAATGCTGTGAAAATGCTCACTGATGAGGTTACCAAAGTGGTTACAATAGCAATAGGCTTCTTAGATTGCCAACTCTTTCAAAATCTTATTTACCGGATGGAGAAAGTGCTTGTAAAATCTGGAAACTTCACAGTAGAGCTTGCAAAAGTCTTGGTAATACTTAGAAAAGTCTCTGGTAAGCAAGGCCCAGGCTTACAGCAGGATTCAATTATGCAGCAAAGGGTTTAAGGTCAGTTACTCCAGAAGGGGAAGCTGAGCTTGTGATTACACAAGTGGGGGTCTCATATTCTGTCTCCTCTTTTCTCTTTCTCCAGGATCCAGGGGACAAAAATCATCTCAACCAGCGTTTAGTGTTTACACAGTTGCCTAAGGAACATGTCCTTTCAGAGAAGTGGTGCAAAAAAGGCTACTGTCCTTCAGCTTGAGGATCTGGGAGCACAGTCTTTAATGTGGCTATTTCCAGGTATGCCTGGGATCAGGGGGGCTGGTGTCATTCAGTCTCTCCTCACCACTGCAAAACACAAGCCCACCTAGGGCAAGCCTCACCCTGCCCGTGAAGCGCACCAGAAGGGCAGGAATGAACAAGCACAGAGAGAAAAGAAGGCACCTGGAGGCTGCAGACAGGGGGACAGTCCTAGGCCCAGGCCTCCTGGTCCCGTGGGCACCCTGCCGCACCTGACAGTAGGCTGAGCCACCTGGGCTGCACCTGGGGGTCACGGCCAGGGCTGCAGGAGGCAGGCGCAGGTGCCAGTGCCGTGACAGACCACCCTGAGAGACTCAGAGAACGGCCTCCATGGCCTGAGGCCAACTCCTTGCTCACCACTGGAGCACAAAGTGGGCTCTGGGTAAGCAGGGGGGCTCGCATGGAGGACCGTGAGCCTCCAGTCTTCAGGGCGGGCTTAGGAAGAGCTGTGGGAGCGGCAGTGCGGGGCCGGCGCCTCATAGCCCTTCGTGCATCCGCCCCGGGTGCCCCTCACCACCCCACGCTCGCGTGCTGCCTGGAGTGTTCCTGGCCACCAGGTTTGGGGATGTTGTGCCCCATTTCCTTGAGTTCCCGGTGCAGAGCCACAGTCACCAGCCTCAGTCGCGAGATGTAAGAACAAGAGTTCTTTATTGCTAGTTTGAACTAGGGTCCCAGCAGCCCGCCAGAACACAGGACTCCGTCTGAGACCCCGAACAAAGTTTCCTTTTTGCTTTTATACTGTAGCAAAAAACA